GAAGTTTCCCCCCCCCCCCTCTCTCTTTCTCTCTCTCTCTGTATATATATATCACAAGCGTAGATTTTTAGGACAAAGCTCCAACATTGGAGTTTTAAAATTATTTTAAAATAAAAAATAAAAAATTGCCAATTCAAATTGGGGAGTATTTCAAGTTGGAATTTAAAATTACTTAAAAAAAAAGACATAAAGAAATTTACTACTCAAACAAGAGTGANTTATATATATATATATATATATATATATATATATATAAAGAGAAGTAAAATAATTATATGATGTCAAGTGGCATAATCATACGATGACAAGTGTAGATTTTTAGGACAAAGCTCCTACATTGGAGTTTTAAAATTATTTTAAAATAAAAATAAAGTAAAAAAATAAAAAAAATGCCTATTCAATTTGGGGAGTAGTTTCAAGTTGGAATTTTAAATTATTTAAAATAAAAAAAGACATAAAGAAATTAACTACTCAAACATGGGTGAGTGTTGGTTTAGGTTATTTAATTTCTTTGTTTCTTTTGTTTAAATTATTTTTGTTTTTTTATAAATAAAAAGTGTATTTATTCATTAAATTCAGAAAATATTATTGAGAACAACATAATAAAATTTAAAATTAAAAAAATCTATACATAATAGGAGAAGAAAATCAATGTTATGATGTCAAGTGTAACAATATCTTAGGACAAACATTCTACAAGTTTGGAGATTCAAAAATTATTTAAAAAAGAAAAAGAAAAAAGAAAACAAAACATGTTGTCATAGAGAAATTAACTACCTAAAATTAATTAATCAAACATGGGTGAGTGTTGGTTTAGGTTAGTTAATTTCTTTTTTTATTTTGTTTAAATTATTTTTATTTTTTATAAATAAAAACTATATTTATTTATTAAAATTTAGATAATATTATTGAAAAAAATAGAATAAAATTTAAAATAAAAAATATTTTAAGAGTAATAAAATATATATCTTCTATTATATTACAAAAAAGAAATAGTAGATAAAAATATTAACCCAAGTAATATGCTAATAAAAATTTCTATTAACAATGTAATAATACTAAAAGTTGGATAATATAATAAAGAAATATACAGAACAAAAATTTATTCGATCACTATAAATCACTTCAATTTAATAGAGATTTTATTCATTAAAATTCAGACAATATTATTGAGAACAATAGAATAAACTTCTAAATAAAAATAATATTTCAAGAGTAATAAAATATACGACAAAATATTACTAGCATTGGATAATAATAAAGAAAATACAGAAAAAAGTTATTCGATTACGATATAATTCCCTTTAATTTAATAGAGATTTTATTATTGGGTATATCATATTGACAAATAAGATGATAATTGAAACTTATTAAAATAATACGATTTAATGTTCAAAAAAGTCCAATCATAATTTAATTTTAAATAATATTTTTTAAATATTGACAGCACATGCGCGGGTACACCTACAAGTTTAGAAATGCTCGCGCTTCGCACAACCGTAAAACTTTAAAATAAATGTCATGATGTCATAATTTTATAAGCGAAAATCAATCTTTATTCATCGAACATCTCTTTTATAGTTGTTTTAATATCTTATATATTAATTCTTTGAGAGTAAGAATTTGTGAGAAATCAACATTTCAGGCATATACTATGGATGCAATAATCAATTAATTTCTTTACTACAATGAAAAATGAAAAACAATCAGTACGGAGCAAAATTAATTTTCGTCCAAATTAACTATGTATCTTGTGTTTAGTAATTTGTAGAGAGTTTCATTTTCAAAGTACAACGTCTATTCTAGGAAAGGATTTACTTTTTCAGTTTTTTAAGTGATTTCAATTTAATATAAAAATAATATATCTAACTCGGCCTCATTTCTTGATTATTAATATAACATAATAAGTATTACTTTAACTTTTAAATAGCTAACTCGAAAATACAATTCTCTTTTCAGTTCTCCCTAGAATGCAAAAACAACTAAAGAACAAAAAATAAATTAAACAAAATCCAGAAAAATAATAATTGAAATCCACTCAAAATGGGAATACCTCCCCATGTCGGTTTTCTTCATAGATACTTGAACAATTTAACAGATTAGTTAAAACCCACGAAAACAAAAACAAATACGAAATTACTCTAAAATAGTAATCAATTCTATTTACTTCCCAAATCAAGTAGAACTAAATAAAACTAACTCAAACGCTGTCAAGAAAGGTGATGTTTTAGACCAAAAAATAAATTGCGCGAAACCAACTTTAGGGTGAAAAAAGTTAAAACAATCCCATTACCCCCTACCCTCTGCCCTTAAAATAATTGAAAGAATTAATAAATTATCTACTCAATTGATAAGTCTACTTTTCAATATCATGAACAAATATAACGCTCATGACTCATGAGCAATTTTTAATAAGCTACATTCATGAGAATCTCCTTGATTTTCCTCTTCTTATCTTTCTCCCGTTTTTCTATCCTCATCAACGTCCTAAAAATCACCCTTTTTTTTTGTATACATCATCTTAATATGTACTGATTTCTTTTTCATATGTCTTCTCAGTCCAGAGATGAATTGAGTAGTAAATAAAATTAGATTGCTTTTTTACCAATCCGATAATTCTCTTTTCTACCAAGTACTGCAATTAAAGGTTACTAATGCAAGTCAATGAGGGGTATTTAACCGCATAAAGAAACAAAGATACTAAAAGCAATGAAACTTGATATATGAGGAACAATGTAGAGCTGAAATTGAATGGGAAGAAAGCCAAGAACTTTGATAAACACAAATGTGAAATGAATACTCCAAACAAAACAAATCAACTTCCCTCTTAATTTTTTTTTTAAAAACTCAATATTCATATGATAAGAGCAATACTAACATTTACCAAAAAAAAAAGGAATGTTGACACACTAAAATTAAAAAAATAACAGAATATAGAAGACAGTGTGATAAGGTATACCTGGTTAAGATCCAAAGATAGTCTCAATTACAACACAAATTGGGGGAAGAAAGCAAAAGAAGAAGAACCAAGAGAGCGAAAGTGATGCCAGAGAATGCGTGTGAATAATAAAAGAATCCTGCAATGTCTTAAACAATCTATTTGAGTATATCCACTATCAACATAAAGAAACTAATTGCAATTTGAAATACTGATTCATAAGCAAATTCTAAAAAAATTATTTTGTTCTCTATTTTGGTTCCATCCTCATATCTATATTTTGGACATGAACATGTACCGTTCAAGGTTAGCAATTGATTGTAGCAATAGAACATGTATGTTTATCCTAAATCACCAAAATGATTCCAATTTGTCAGATAACATTGGGCAGGCAAAGTGGCAAATGAAAATTTTGAATAGAAAAAAGAGCATGAAAACTCACCATTTGAAGGAAAGACATTTGATTGAAACTCTAACACAAGGTCAGAAGAACGCAGCACCTGTAACCACAAACGAAGTCATATCAAAGGTCCAAAAGGCTGGTAAGAAAAATCAATTCTCTATCAAGAAATTGAAGCGTGATTAAATTGGAAAATTTGACCGATTTATGAGCAACGCTTGAGAAAACGGAACTGCTATGATCCTAATTCCTAAACCTTCAAAAAGAGAAATGTAACGTTTAAAGAATGCTAGTGTCGTTTGAGTTGAATAGCCGAATGTTTTTTAATGGTTAGGGTAAAAAGAAGGTTGTAATTAAAACCTTTTTTTTCTAATTTAATATGGATATTGTAATGAATAGAGAGAGGGAAAACCCCCAAAAAATGACAAAATAAATAAATATATTTTCTTGTCTATGGGTGGTGCCATGTCACGACTCTTTGGCCCTCCTTTAGATTAATATATAGATTCATGAGAATCTCTCCTTGATTTTCCTCTTCTTATCTTTCTCCCATTTTTCTATCCTCATCAACGTCCTAAAAATCACCCTTTTTTTTTTGTATACATCATCTTAATATTTACTGATTTCTTTTTTATATGTCTTCTCAGTCCAGAGATGAATTGAGTAGTAAATAAAATTAGATTATTTTNTAAACCTTCAAAAAGAGAAATGTAACGTTTAAAGAATGCTAGTGTCGTTTGAGTTGAATAGCCGCAGGTTTTGTAATGGTTCAGGTAAAAAGAAGGTTGTAATTAAAACCTTTTTTCTAATTTAATATGGATATTGTAATGAATAAAGAGAGGGAAAACCCCAAAAAATTGACAAAATAAATAAATACATTTTCTTGTCTATGGGAGGTGCCATGCCACGACTCTTTGGCCCTCCTTTAGATTAATATATAGATTCATGAGAATCTCTCCTTGATTTTCCTCTTCTTATCTTTCTCCCGTTTTCTATCCTCATCAACGTCCTAAAAATCACCCTCTTTTTTTGTATACATCATCTTAATATTTACTGATTTCTTTTTCATATGTCTTCTCAGTCCAGAGATAAATTGAGTAGTAAATAAAATTAGATTTCTTTTTTACCAATCCGATAATTCTCTTTTCTACCAAGTACTGCAACAAAAGGTTACTAATGCAATTCAATGAGGGGTATTTAACCGCATAAAGAAACAAAGATACTAAAAGCAATGAAACTTGATATATGAGGAACAATGTAGAGCTGAAATTGAATGGGAAGAAAGCCTAGAACTTTGATAAACACAAATGTGAAATGAATACTCCAAACAAAACAAATCAACTTCCCTCTTAATTTTTTTTTTAAAAAAACTCAATATTCATATGATAAGAGCAATACTAACATTTACCAAAAAAAAAAAAATGTTGACACACTAAAATTAAAAAAATAACAGAATATAGAAGACAGTGTGATAAGATATACCTGGTTAAGATCCAAAGATAGTCTCAATTACAACACAAATTGGGGGAAGAAAGCAAAAAAAGAAGAACCAAGAGAGCGAAAGTTATGCCAGAGAACGCGTGTGAATAATAAAAGAATCCTGCAATGTCTTAAACGATCTATTTGAGTATATCCACTATCAACATAAAGAAACGAATTGCAATTTGAAATACTGATTCATAAGCAAATTCTAAAAAAATTATTTTGTTCTCTATTTTGGTTCCATCCTCATATCTATATTTTGGACTTGAACATGTACCGTTCAAGGTTAGCAATTGATTGTAGCAATAGAACATGTATGTTTATCATAAATTACCAAAATGATTCCAATTTGTCAGATAACATTGGGCAGGCAAAGTGGCAAATGAAAATTTGGAATTGNTGGCAAATGAAAATTTTGAATAGAAAAAAGAGCATGAAAACTCACCATTTGAAGGAAAGACATTTGATTGAAACTCTAACACAAGGTCAGAAGAACGCAGCACCTGTAACCACAAACGAAGTCATATCAAAGGTCCAAAAGGCTGGTAAGAAAAATCAATTCTCTATCAAGAAATTGAAAAGTGATTAAATTGGAAAATTTGACCGATTTATGAGCAACGCTTGAGAAAACGGAACTGCTATGATCCTAATTCCTAAACCTTCAAAAAGAGAAATGTAACATTTAAAGAATGCTAGTGTCGTTTGAGTTGAATAGCCGAATGTTTTTTAATGGTTAGGGTAAAAAGAAGGTTGTAATTAAAACCTTTTTTTCTAATTTAATATGGATATTGTAATGAATAAAGCGAGGGAAAACCCCAAAAAATTGACAAAATAAATAAATACATTTTCTTGTCTATGGGAGGTGTCATGCCACGACTCTTTGGCCCTCCTTTAGATTAATATATAGATTCACGAGAATCTCTCCTTGATTTTCCTCTTCTTATCTTTCTCCCGTTTTTCTATCCTCATCAACGTCCTAAAATCACCCTCTTTTTTTGTATACATCATCTTAATATTTACTGATTTCTTTTTCATATGTCTTCTCAGTCCAGAGATGATTTGAGTAGTAAATAAACTTAGATTGCTTTTTTACCAATCCGATAATTCTCTTTTCTACCAAGTACTGCAATAAAATGTTACTAATGCAAGTCAATGAGGGGTATTTAACCGCATAAAGAAACAAAGATACTAAAAGCAATGGAACTTGATATATGAGGAACAATGTAGAGCTGAAATTGAATGGGAAGAAAGCCAAGAACTTTGATAAACACAAATGTGAAATGAATACTCCAAACAAAACAAATCAACTTCCCTCTTAATTTTTTTTAATAAACTCATATGATAAGAGCAATACTAACATTTACCAAAAAAAAAAGAATGTTGACACACTAAAATTAAAAAAATAAGAGAATATAGAAAACAGTGTGATAAGGTATACCTGATTGTGATCCAAAGATAGTCTCAATTACAACACAAATTGGGGGAAGAAAGCAAAAGAAGAAGAACCAAAAGAGCGAAAGTGATACCAGAGAACGCGTGTGAATAATAAAAGAATCCTGCAATGTCTTAAACGATCTATTTGAGTATATCCACTATCAACGTAAAGAAACTAATTGCAATTTGAAATACTGATTCATAAGCAAATTCTAAAAAAAATATTTTATTCTCTATTTTGGTTCCATCCTCATATCTATATTTTGGACTTGAACATGTACCGTTCAAGGTTAGTAATTGATTGTAGCAATAGAACATATATGTTTATCCTAAATCACCAAAATGATTCCAATTTGTAAGATAACATTGGGCTGGCAAAGTGGCAAATGAAAATTTTGAATTGAAAAAAGGGCATGAAAACTCACCATTTGAAGGAAAGACATTTGATTGAAACTCTAACACAAGGTTAGAAGAACGTAGCACCTGTAACCACAAACGAAGTCATATCAAAGGTCCAAAAGGCTGGTAAGAAAAATCAATTCTCTATCAAGAAATTGAAGCGTGATTAAATTTGAAAATTTAACCGATTTATGAGCAACGCTTGAGAAAACGCAACTACTATGATCCTAATTCCTAAACCTTCAAAAAGAGAAATGTAACGTTTAAAGAATGCTAGTGTCGTTTGAGTTGAATAGTCGAAGGTTTTGTAATGATTCAGGTAAAAAGAAGGTTGTAATTAAAACCTTTTTTTTCTAATTTAATATGGATATTGTAATGAATAAAGAGAGGGAAAACTCCAAAAAATTGACAAAATAAATAAATACATTTTCTTGTCTATGGGAGGTGCCATGCCACGACTCTTTGGCCCTCCTTTAGATTAATATATAGATTCATGAGAATCTCTCCTTGATTTTCCTCTTCTTATCTTTCTCCCGTTTATCTATCCTCATCAACGTCCTAAAAATCACCCTTTTTTTGTATACATCATCTTAATATTTACTGATTTCTTTTTCATATGTCTTCTCAGTCCAGAGATGATTTAAGTAGTAAATAAAATTAGATTGCTTTTTTACCAATCCGATAATTCTCTTTTCTACCAAGTACTGCAATAAAAGGTTACTAATGCAAGTCAATGAGGGGTATTTAACCGCATAAAGAAACAAAGATACTAAAAGCAATGAAACTTGATATATGAGGTACAATGTAGAGCTGAAATTGAATGGGAAGAAAACCAAGAACTTTGATAAAGACAAATGTGAAATGAATACTCCAAACATAACAAATCAACTTCCCTCTTAATTCTTTTTAATAAACTCAATATTCATATGATAAGAGCAATACTAACATTTACCAAAAAAAAAAAGAAGAATGTTGACACACTAAAATTAAAAAAATAAGAGAATATAGAAAACAGTGTGATAAGGTATACCTGGTTGTGATCCAAAGATAGTCTCAATTACAACACAAATTGGGGGAAGAAAGCAAAAGAAGAAGAACCAA